TTTGTTTGCTCAGCTTCGTCAACATTAGTGAGATGGCTAAGGAAGGGGAGGGGGTGTGTCTTATTGTTTAGTCCACAGAGTTCTTTAAGCTTACCATACCATTGACTGATGTTGGTCTGCTTCAGGTGTTGTAATTTGGTTGGGTAGTGGGACTTCTTTGCAGTGCGTATTTCGCGGATGACTCTGTTGCGAAGTGACCTGTAGCGGATGTGGTCATTGAGATGAAAGGCTCTGTCTCTCTGTTGCATTAGTCTTTTGATCCGAGGTGTGATCCAGGGCAAGTCAGCTGGGTGAGATCTGACGGACTTCTCGGGGAAGAAGTGGTGGTGAGCTTCCGTGGTGGTCTTGGTATAATTTATCCATTTGGTTTCCACGTCATCCACGCTAAGTACTTCAGTCCAGGGATAGTGAACTATCCATTGCCCAAAGAGGCGCACTGCAGAGTCAGTAATCGGCCTGTAGGTCTTGATGTAGGGTCTCTGTACTTGAGTGGGAGTGGCAGCTGGGGACCAGAGCACTGATAAGTGTGTGCTACACCCGATAGGAGGCAGTGGTTGAGGAGGTTGGTACTGGTCCGCTAAGTCAGTTAAGATAAGGTCAAGGGTGTTTTGACCGTGTGTGGGGAAGGTCACAACTTGTGATAGTGATAGCTGGTCCTGGATATCAGTGGTGTCAATTTCATTTAAATCCCCACATAATACTAACTTGGCACATGGGTACTTAACTCTGAGGTGGTCTGAGGTGGTGATGAGATGATTGATAAGAGTGTCTCTGGTGGGTGATCGAGGCGGATGGTATGCCACACAGATTATAATGGAAGCAGTGTTGCGTGGGTGTGCCCGCAGCACGACACGTACCCATAATGCTTCCACATCTGCTGGGACTTGAACATCCAGGCGTGACGGGCGTAGGTCATCTTGACAGAAGAGGGCAACGCCCCCTCCGCGTCTATGTGAACGAAGGTGATGAAAGAGTTGATATCCCTCAATATGACACGTTTCAGGCACAATTTGCCAAGCCTCACATATGGCAACGACACTCGCGGCGGCTGACCTGACTGTAGTTGCCAGCTCGTCGAACTTGTTAGCTAGGGAAGTGACGTTGGATGGCAGTAAAGACGGGAGATCATACCATATCCGTGGAACTTCAGTGTGGTGGTATGGTCTGTCAGGGGTGGGTTTCTCCGGTTTCCTAGTGGAGGTTACGGTTCTAATGGGCTTATGTGCATGACAGCCTTGTCTACGGCTCCGCGCGTGGAATATTTTCAGTGACTTGAGTAGCGCGATAACACTGCCATCAGGATAACCGTTCCCACGCTTTAGATGGTACAGAGTGCGTCGGGAGTAAGTGATTGGTGGCCATCGGTTGAAATCTGTTGTGGGCGGATGGAAGTGTTTGTCACTGGTGGCACTTTGAGGGACACTGACACTGTTAGACATCTGTTAATATTTGTCAGTCGTAAAGACCGTGGTCTTTGTCCCGGTGCTTGGGGTCGCCGACACAGTTTTCACGATATATGTAAACACCGCGGTGGTCCTTGTCACTGGCACTTTAAAGTTGACCGATAAAGTGCCCACTGTCTGACTTTTCCTTGGGGTGCACTATCGAGCACTGTATGGTAATCACTTATTGCACTGATGGCTAGAATGTTTTGGGGGAGAAAGTATATGAAAATATTACTTAAGATAAAGTACTGCACTGTTACTATGTAAAAATTAAAACTTGTATTAGTACACGGAGTCCCCGACTTATGAACACCCTCCGATATGAACGGTGTTAAACTTGAAATTTACAATACTTCATCAGATAACATTTTTTACTTTCATTTACTGTATTGTCAATTCATTTCTTTTTTTTTTCTTAAATTAAATGATTTTAGATGTATATAAGGACTTTGGCTATGATATAGTGAGATTTTAAACATTGTTCTGTAAGTACGGTATGCTCCTAGCATGCATTCCGACTTACAAATCCGACTCAGAATGTCGTCAGGAATGGAACCCGTTCGTAACCTGGGGACCCCCTGTAATCTTCTTCAAAACTACTTTAGTAATACAGGCTGTAGTTTAATTAACTGAAGTGAAACATAAAAGTAGAAGGGTAAAATAACAGTAGTACAGTACTCCCTCTTTATCGACGGGGGTTACGTTCTGTAAACGGCCGTCGATAAAGAAACCGTCGATACCGTGATGGTTACGTAATTTTTCTAACTATTATTAGCATATGTTGAATAAATGTACCTTTAAGCATTAATGCATTTCCTTTACACATAACCTTAAATAATAGTGTATAAATAATAATATAAGTGGACAAAAATACTAGCAAACTTACCATTTCATTTATTGAAGTGAACATCGGTCCTTACAGTAAACAATACAGTGTACAGTACAGTAAAAGTCCAAAAATCCGGATGCCCAAGGCAATTTGTTTACCATTTATTATTACAACACTTTACACTGAAACGCGGGTAGTTTCAACAAAAATATTGTATATTTCCATTCAAGTATTTATTCAAGTCAATTAGGAGGGAATATTATTGTAATACAACAGTTTTTTAACTAAACCATTCGAAAAGTGATTACGGTAACATCTTTTGAACGAAAGAAAGCGAGTCATTGTTTTCGTCACGATTTGATCCCACTTTCCACTTTAATACGTACGTCATTTCAACAAAAATATTACATTTCCGTGAATGTATTATATCAAGCACAGTATGAATAGAATATCATTGTAATATAACAGAATTTTAACCAAAAACGAGTAACATCTCTTGAACATCGGAAGGTTAGGTGAAGTCTTTTGTTTTCGTCATGTATTTTATCCTATTTTACATTGAAATACATCACGTTTCAGCAAAATTACTATTTATTTCCAAGAATATATTCATTCAGGCGCAGTTTAGGTAAAATATACGTGTGATGTAACATTTTTTTAATTGAAAACGATTCGAAAAACACGTACCCTCTAGCCCTGTTCAAGGAGAGGACTGGGAGAAGCTGTTTGGTGCTGCCGATGGCAAGGAAAATGATTTGGATGGATTTTAATGAAAATATTCAGAAATATGGTATCGTAGTATTTATTCAAATCAATTAGGATAGAATATTATTGTAATACAACAGTTAAGGTAAAATATACTTGTGATGTAATATTTTAATGAAAATCCAGTATCGTAGTTTTCTCTTGGTTCAAATTTAATTAACAAAGATTGATGTTTCAAATGTAATGAACAAAAATTTATGTCCAGTATCTATAAATTAACTTTAATAAATGAATACTTTGTTTTACATCGTCCTGTGCTACCATACCATGGATTTGGCTACTTTGGGCTCGCAAGAGATCTGCCCTGGCAACTGTACCGACACTCACAGCTGGTGGTGTGTTGGTGCATCATTTCCATTGTTTACTGGTAGTTACTGGTAAATATTTTTCAACCTAACGAAACTATTACCCGTTTAGAGGTCGACCCCCAATTTTTGCCAAATAATTTGGTCTTAAAAACTCGAACTACACACAGGTATATACGGTAAATAAGGACATGGGGGGCCAGGGATTATTTAGGGGGGGCAGCAATAGTATACGGATTTTTAACATTCACGGGTATCTCTGTTACCTAACCCCCGCGAATGTTAAGGGCCGACTGTACATAGAAAATCTAAAATGGGTGTCTCATTCTCTTCTCAACACCACAAAACTCAAATGAGCTTGCCAGTCATTTTAAAGTGAATTACAAACAAAAATTTTGCCTGTGTACTGATGTTGGGACTTGAAAAAACGTAATTTGACAACATTTTGGAACGACTGAGGCAGGTCGTAAGTCGGGGAGGAGCTGTAGTAGGTATTACAAGAAATATTATTACTTTGACAATATTGTATATATTTTTTAAGAGATGATTTAAAGGAAGGGAGTGTAGTCTTTGCTCGAATGGGTGGGGGTAAGTTCTTTCACACCGTGATATTTTATGGAGGTCTGGGACTGAGAGGAGCGCATGGGGGGTGGTCTTAGTAGCTCTGGGTGCCTTAAGTTGTATCTCTGTTTATTCCGGAACTGGAAGTAATTACTGTCAAGCAAGTGATTGATAGATTTTTAAACAAAGAGGGCACAGCAGTAGGTGTTAATATCTTTGAATTTTAACATTTTCAATTTAGCAAATTTTTCGTTTGTGTGATCTGTTTTTTCAAGTAGGTCATTGTCCGTACAACTCTCTTTTGTGCAGTAACCAGAGATTGTGTTTTTGAAGAGCCAGAAACCCCCTATAGTGTGTGACAGTGTATCAGGTGTTGGTAAACAAGATCATGATAGATTTCTTTCATTGCTGTGAGAGTGAGTGACTGTCGAGTGTGATACATGAAACCGCACTGTTTATTGACTTTACTGTGAATGGCTTATGTGGTTTCTCCAGTTAATTTTCTCATCAACAATAACTCCGAGGAATTTAGTATTTTGTTCGCGTTTGAGGACTGTATTACCAAGGTACAGGGGGTCCAAGTCTGGGGGTAAGTTTTTCCTCCTGTGAAAGATCGTATAGTGGGTTTTCTCAAGGTTTAAGGTCAGTTTATTACATATTACCCAGGTCCTGACTTTAGTCAAATCAGTGTTCATAGTTCTCATCAAGGAATGGAGGTCTGAGTTGCTGGCATAGAAATTACTATCGTCTGCAAATAAGTTGTATTTTATGAGTGTGCTGGCGTGGACTATGTCGATTATGTACAACAAAAACAGTTCTGGACCGAGAATGGTGAGGAAAGGTCTCTGTAGGATTCCTCCTTTGTTGTTGATAGTCTTGTCTAGGGCTATTTTAAAGCACAGTACTGTCTGTTCCTGCTGATTGGTTTACTAGTCTCTGTGTGAAGAAACATTTCGTTGTCATTCTGCATGATAATTTTGTAAGCTTAGAGTCATGCTCCATTGTATTGGTGCGTGAAATCTAAAAAGAATGGCCGGGATTCATGTTTTCCATCCCTTTTAAAATTTTGAATGTGTATGAGTTGTGCCTTATTGTGTCTTGTCTGAAGGGTTGTTAGTCCTCAGGCCCTCAGTTTATTTGGATAACCGAGATGACATAGTTCAGGAATTATTTTAGTCACCATGTTGCACCTTTTCTAATGATGTTGGGTCTTTTTGAAGGTAGTGTTTACATGCCCTGTATTCAGTAATCCAGACTGGGACATACTTGAGATCTGTACAGTTAAAGGAGCATTTTCATATCTTTGTATTTGAAGGCTATGCTTTATAATTCCCAAATCTTGATTTTTTTTTTTTTGTCACTATTGCCTCCACTTGTTCTGCCTCCATCAGTGACTGATCTATGACAACACCAATATCTTTCTCCTTATCGACAGTATCCAGGAAAGTGTTACTAACAGAATGGTGGTGATTTAGGTTGTTGCATCCTACATGCAGAGTCTTGCATTTTGTGTTGTTAAAGGTCTTTTGCTAGTCTAAAGACCATTTGAACAGCTTGTGCAGATCTTTTTGCATGGTTGCTACATCGTCTTGTCTTGCAATCTTCCCAAATATCTTCATGTCATCCACAAACCTAACAATATGTCTTGATATAATTTCATCTGTCATTTATGTAGATCTCAACAGGTTGGATTCAAGAATAAAACTTTGTGCTATACTACTGAGAAATGTTTTCCATTCTGAATGTACCCCATTTGTGACCACCCTTTGTGTCTTGTCATTGAACCTGTTGTTAATGCACTTCAAAATTTGGCCTATGATTCTATGTGGCTGGATTTTAGAGACTACCTGTGAATGTGGGACTTTGTCAAGTGCCCTAGATAAGTCCACGTATTACGCCTGAGATCAAAGGTTTGCTTGACCCCAAATAAGATAAAACAGCACACTTGCATCAGAAAACAGTCAGGATAAGTCAGTTCAGAGACTCCGTTTCACCACGGGTATCAAAATTTTGACAGTGACTGTACTACTCATCCACGGTAGACCTTGGTCCATGTAATGTGTTACCATTTCTAGGAAATTGAATAAGTGTGTCAAACAGGATATTCTCTATGGAACCGTGTGATACATTGATCAGACTACTCGGTCAGGTGTTGGAAGATTGTGTCCTTCAGAATTTTCTCAAGAATTTGTGTATATAGTGAGTTGACATAAAGCAAGGGTCAGGTGGTTGTTGGCCAGAGTTAGTTTTTCCCTGATGTGGACTTTGTCCACCATTGCTACCTATGTTGTCAAGAGTATATCCAGAATGTTTTTTCTCTAGTAGGTTCCTTCATGTGTTGTGTCTTGAAGGTCAAGGTATGCTCCTCAGCTTGTATGGTAAGAGTCACCCAGTCTACTGTCTGTTCTGGATGACATTGGAGTCTGCCACTTCTCCCTGTGAGGTTGAGTCAGCCTTATAACACACACCTACTGTCACCTTGCTTTTTGTTCTCTGCTATTAGTTCACACCAAAAGTAAATTTGGACGATTTAGTTTCATTCGCTCATCATTACTGGTTATTGTCAGGTGCTCCATGACACAGTAGTACACCACCACCTGTCCTTTCTGGATGGTGAGTGATAACCTGGTAAACACATCTTCTCAACCCCAGGATGTCTGCCTGTTCTGTATCCACCTATGCATTTAAGTCCAGTCTTATTAACTAGACTTGTGTCATTCTTGTTTCATTCAGGATTTTGTTCTCTCGGGGTTACTAGTATTACTTAAAGCTACACTTGTGATGTGCAACTCCTATACAGTATGAAGTCCCATATTTCTCACTGTCTCTCCTTCCCTCCTCCACCTCAGGTTCTTTATAATGCGATTGTCATTGTGTTTGTTTATTTGCAATTGTTCTCGTGACATGTTATGTTAGTCAGCCCCAGGTGCCACGTTATCACTGTGTAACTATTTCTTGTAAGTTATTTAATACTTCCTGCACTGATTGTTGGAGTTGTCTCATTTATTGCTTTAGTTTACTGTATCTTGTTCTTTATCCTCTACACTAGTAATACAGGTACACCACCAATTTTCCGGCACCTTTGGTTCCTGAGCCTTTCCGGACCATCCGTTTTGCCGGATTAACAGAGGTCATATATAATAATTAAGCAATACACCTTTGAACCACTTGGTATACACCCCTTCCCCCCGGTATTTTTAAAGCACCATGGCTGCTAGAAACTCATCACTCTATCATGTTCAGTACTCTTACTGTCTTTCAATGTTTTTCTAATGCACACTTGCTTCTTGGAATCACTTTCTGCATAGAATCTCGTTACTTTTTCTCTTTGCTTCTTTATATCACACACAGTTGACGAACCAATACCATACTGATCACACACCCGTCACACCGAAACGCTACGGTCGAGTTTTCTCAAGAGTTCCACCTTATCTTGTATCGATGTGGACTGGTGTTTACTCTTTACACCACCACTGACACTTGTACTTGCCTTTGAAGCCATAGCTGGGGTTAAATATGTCCAAAACAAGCTGAGAATTACACAAAATCAAGAAGCTACCACCAGCAACTGCAGAATAAACAAAGCGAGCGCGGTTAACACGTAATGCCATCTGTGGGCAGCCCAGTAAACTAATCTGGAGGTCAAGGGAATTTTGTCCTGGTTAAAAGAGGTGCCGGACCATCCGTTGCCGGAAAATCGGTGGAGTACCTGTAATTAAGTCCCTAACTTGGTCTTTTTGTGTTTGTATATAGTGTCAAAGTATTTATGTTTAGAGTACACCCACCTCTCGCTTTACGCGGGGGTCACGTTCTTGAAAACCACCGCTTAATTAAAAACTTCTTAAATTAAACATAAATTTCCCATAAGCATACATGTAAATGGCACAGGTTAAGGGAACCATCATATACCACACAGGGTACGAACAGTGCTCTCACTTAAACCAAGCATGCTGCCAACACACACATACTCCTCTCTGAAGGCCGGTGATCACATTTAATTTCACGTCCATTGTGATTGTTTTTCGTGCCTTTTTAGCTTTAGGCGTCCCAGAGGCAGATGGGTGTTTTACAGACATGGTCAATGGGGGAAACGGCATTTAACACTAAAAAGGTACGTGATAAACACAATGCAAATTGGAGCACAGAGAAGTAATAGTGCTGGTGTGAACTGAGAAAGTGATACCCGGGAAGCTTGCTGGACGTGGTCAAAGTTTTTGTACAGAATACTTCATTATCTTCACCATTAGAAGTAATTATCTTTATTATTACATTATTATAATTATTATTATTAATAATATAAAATTGTTGATGTTGATATGACTGCAACTTTATAGTCATAACTTACAAGTACCTCACCAGGCATCACACGCGACTCCACTGCCAGACGACCAGGTGAATACACGATGCAAATTTAAACTGTCTTGAGCGCGTTATTTAAAAAATAGGTGCGTTTAAATTAGCTTTTGGTATTAACTGAACAATCGCGTTGTTCCAAAAACGCTTAAATCAAACGCACGTAAAACGAGTTACCTGTATATAAAGTAAAAGAATAAAATCATTTTAACACCTGTGCTGAACTGATATTCCAGCTCAGGAGTGCCACAAGAAACGTGAAGATTAGTTATTACAGAAAAAAAAAAAAATTTAACCCAAAGTTGATTGTAAATACATAATGCCGCTCAGTCTCATATTTTCTCTCTTAATTATATTAATAACTTTAAGCTTTGCATAAATCATTGTTTATCAATTTTGATACCTTACAAATACTACTTTCTTTTTTACTTTTTCTACTTGTGTGTTTCACTTCAATTAATTTAACTTTTGTTTTGTTTTTAAGTAGTTTTGAAGAAAGCTACTTTATACAAATTTTAATTTGTACAAAGCAACAGTGTAGTACTGTACTTTATTTTAAGTAATACTTCCAGGTACTTTCTCCATCACTGTTTAAAGTGGATCTGAATTGAGCTGGACCTGATGTGAACTAGACTAAAGTGGGCTGGACGTGCAAGTGAAGGAGATCTGAAGTTAACTGGACCTAAAGGACTAGATAGTAATTAATTACTATTTTCTGGTACTTTGAATATTAGGATGGTTCTACAGGCATTCCCCAGTTTATAAGAGAGTTCTGTTCCTGAAAAACCTTTAGTAAATCAGATAAATTTTCCCATAGACTTCCATTATAAAAGCCGAGATACTTTTCTATAATGAAAATACTAACCCAAAATGTCTTAACCCTTAAGCCCTGGGTGACGTTCCAGAACGTCTGCCTATTTTCCCATGACACAGTAGTGAGAGTTAACACTGTGGTGTTAATAACTTTACTACAGTGAGGATATTACTTCAATAATTATGTAAGAGATAAAATCACAAAGTAACTTCATGAAATTACCGTTTACTGTATCTTAAAGTATAGTTCAAGTCTTAATGATCAAATTTTTATGTAAAAAATTGGGGTCAAACTATACATGCATAATATTTTTGAGGGGTTACAATTTATGCATTTCCATGGGTCATTTACAGTGAATGATAGTACCTGGTGCAGTACGCGCTTATGGTAGGTTAACCTTACCAGTAAGCTCCTTTATCCTGGGCTTGCCTACCTACCCCAAGATCCTATGTGGCTACAGGAAGAGCAGAACCTTTCACTATACAGTATATGCTGGTTTAAATATACAAATGCCTGATAGAATTGGTTTAGATATTTTTCTTTGCATCTGTTTAAATTACTGGGAGATTATCAACTTTCCCCACCTGTGAGCTGTATGCTATGTTATGGTCAGAGTGAGGGAAGATTGGACTAAAGTTAATTGAGAGGGAAGACTGCTGGAGACATAATTGAAGAGTATTACAGTGAGGGTGGGAAGGCTGGTGATATGAATTAAAACTATTCTCAAGTAATGTATATGTGGGAGAAACTTGACTAGAACATAAGACTTTACTGTACTGTAGCAGAAGAAGAGTGAGGAAACACCTTAGGATAGACTGAAGTTTTATACAAGCAAAGGAAGGATATGTGCCACTTAATCTGCACTGGATTATTTTTTTAATTTCTTCCACATCCTAGGTTTAGGTTTCACTTCTTCAGAACTCAACCATAAAGAGAGTCACCTATCAACTGGAATCAACTGAATCTGACCATCTTTCCCCGACCTTTAGGACGGGGTAAGAAGTCTATTCTGGGAAGGATGTTTTTGGACCAGCATGCTTGTTTGTCCAGTGGTTCCAGGAGTCAGGATCCTCTTGAGGGAGAAACCTGGCCCTCAGACTTGGCATCAGCCAGGTTCAGGTGTAACGGGCCGAGTTTTCTCTTTTAATAATTTACCATTCAGATATTCTTTTCTGTTAGTATTCTATTTATTCATATACTTATATGTTCGTTGTAGCATTCTTTCCAATGAGTATCCTGTTTTATATACTTATCCTTCTTCAATTCTTTACATATATACTTATTCTTATATATTCTTATATAAGTAACTCTTATGCTTCTCTTGCTTATATTTTCCAAGTCAATGTTCTTTCTTTTCATTTTCTTTCATATATTATAATCTCTTCCATTTATTTTGTTCTAGTTATATTCTAAACCATGGATTAACCTGGGAAACCATGTCTTTCTTATTACCACACTTATTATACTTACAACGGTAGACCTGCCACCACCCAGGATTTTTCTATAATATAACATATCTTAGTTAACTGTTAGGTAGCGAGCTTCTAGGCTTGTGAGTTAGTTATTTTCTGAGAACCAATGTGGGAAAGGATAAAGTGGTGATACTCGTAGATTACTAATTCAATATTTATTAACACAGTGATTGGATAAGATGCATCTTAGATTCACTCAGACAAAACAGAACTGCAATTTATTTATTAAGTCATCAAACACTTCAAGAACTTATTACCTCATTAAATACCTCCAAATACTTATTACTTCAATCGACAATTGTGGTATTATCACTCTGCCAAATGATATTCAGTACTGGGTATACACCAGATATCACTGGACCCTCAGGTCTTACCTTACCAAGTAGCAAATTAACTCTTCACTTCTTGGTTATATCATTATACTCTCAGATTATCATTTCATGGTCACTACCGATGAATACATAGCACACTGGACAACTCCACAATTATCGCAACATACAATACCTCCTGTTAATTCTCAAGGAACAACATGGCACTTTTAACTCTCATTCAGTGGTTCAATACTTAACCTGGGATACTATATTTCGGCTAGTTATCCCCCAAACAAGATACAATAATACTTAGGCCCATGTAACTGTGAGGAGTGCTCCAGGGTAACGCTGGTCTCTACAACAAATGAAGATCGCTGTTAGGGGTCGGTTGTAGACAGACACACGCCCAGGGAGCTGGTGCCTGATTTGCAGGAAACGGACTTCCCAGTTTAATCCTGTCGAATTAACGGCATCGTCCAACCCGGTTACCGACCCACGTTAGCCGATGAGTATTCAGCTCAACACACTGGAGAGACGTTGAGGAAGAGTCACGAATGCCTAAATGCCTAACTTCAACTATACAAAACATACGTCTGGCAACGGTTCAGACGATATCTAAATCTCTACGTTACTTGACTTAATTGGCACAGAATTCACTATGTTAACACCTGAACACTGATATTCACAAAATTGACCAAGTTAAACTGAATTAATAGGCGGCGGGGAACACACGTTAACATACCTGGAGAGACGTTGAGGAAGAGTCACAAATGCGTGATTCTCCCTCGTGTAGAGGTATATACGTGCACCAGTGGGGCAGCTTGGGCCTCCGTATTCATACCAGAAGGGTCGATCTTACCAACAACATAACTTCTCTACCATTTTGGATCACTGTAAACTTAGTTATGAACTCCAGTGTTCTTGATCAGGGTAATTTCCTATGTCTATTCATATAATCTAATCAGAGGTTGAGCTTGCCAGGAAAAGGTGGATTATACACGTCGATAACATTAATTCTGCAAGCAAAGGCCTGAGGCGAACAAGGAGCTATTCACGGGGAGGCGCTACATCTTGGAGATTATACCAGTTGACAGAATAGTTCAGGAAATTAATGACTTTCTCAAATAGACAACTGCCACTAACTAAACTATAAACATCAGATTCTCTGATGTCGGGGCGACAAAATGATATAACTTCAGGCGCGATCAGAAACTCATGGATACCCCCACGGACGACATAAAATACGCCACTAGCTGGCAAACTCGACACTCACTCGACACGTTTTACTAACGATAAGGACAGTTGAGGCGTTCTACCCCACTCACAATGGATCTTGAATGTTCCCTTCTGTAAACAGACATATCTAGGTTGACTCAAAACAAGGGTGTTCTCTCTCACACTCAAATTCATTTTATAGAGAGGTTGGTTTCAATAAGTCAGAGAAAATGGGATAACGGAGGACTGAGGTGTCTTGAAGTGATAAGAAAACGGACTCCTCAGATGGAGGACTCAACGAAAGCCGAGTTATATGTTTTGTGGGCTATTGAGCGTAATATGAATCATTTGATTTTGGTGCTAACTGACGTGTAAGACCGTGGTCGTGACAACACCACCTGTGTTTTTTTACCAGGTATGATTGGTAATGAGTAATGTGCTGTATGAGTCGAGCACAGTATGATTAGTGGTTAGTCAAGAGCTGTATGAGTGATAGTGAGTCGAGCGCTGTATGAGTGATAGTGAGTCGAGCACAGTATGATTAGTAGTGAGTCAGGCACTGTGAGTAATCTACTGTGTGTATGATTGTTACTGTGTCATGTGCCATATCATCCCATCAATCATCCACCTCCTGTGTGTGAAATGGTGTACTTCCAGGTATCACATATCATGCTGAGTGTCTTGGGTCGTGCACAGTTGATGCTGTATGTGTTGCTTATATCATGTTTTGGGTATTTTGATGCTCTCTCTCTCTTTGTTTATCTTTCTCACACACACACATGCAAAAAAAACAAACCCTAAACTAACCTAACTTAGATACATAATGAGATCATTAAAAGTTGAAAGTCACCATCTCTTCTCTCAACAGGTTGGAAGGAGGCATAAGGTCGAGCATGACAACCATTACTGGTGTTGGCTGGGCAGAAGCCGTCACTTGTGCACCAAGATGTCTTCACGTTTTAGCTCTCTGGTCTGTAGTCTCAAATGTAAAGTATGTTGAATATTTCTCCTAAGTTAAGATGCAAGGTTGTATCTGATTGTGTGATTCAAGGTGATGGAATCTCAAAGGTATGTTGAATATTTCTTATAAATTAAGATGTAAAAATGTATCTGATTGGTGACATAAGATACAACATTGGTCAAGGATGAGTTGTCCTAATTTATTTAGTATGGATCAGGAAGCTGATTCTAGGACTGTAGTTAGCCTGATTAAAACTCGGGCCTTCGTTGATGAGCAGCAGCAATTTGACAGTAATTACATAAGATCATCGGAATCGTCTTAGTGATGTGCAAACCGATAAAGGATTTTTTAATGCTAGATGCGATTGTATTTTTTAAAACTCAATCTCCACTGAGTTGGAGGTACAGCCCAGGTCAAGAGGCCTACAACCACAAAATCTTTGTCATAAGACAATTTTTTTTTTTTTACGGAGTTGTGGTCACTGCTGTGATTAGCCACCCAAAGGTCAACCAGGGAGTGTAGTACTGTGCCTTTAGTTAAATCAGTTGATAGTGTCATCAGTGACTGCGGAACAGGTTGTAAATACTTAGAGTGAATACAAATTGGCAAGCAAGCTGTTAAGGCACCACTGCCACAGAGACTTTTATTTTGTATTTGTGCTCTCTCAATGACTGAAACTGTGCCTAACACCATTCACAGGGAGATACAATAAGTACTTTCAGAATAACACATAAATGCCTAAATCATTCCTTGGAAACCAATAGTTGATAAGTAATTAGCACTGCCCTGTGGTACCCCTTTTGTGACAGGTACAGATAATGATTTAGTGCCATTAATCACCACACGCTGCTTGCAGTCATATAGAAAGTCTTCTATCCACGCTAGGATATTTCCCCAAATACCGTACCCTTCCAGTTTGATTTTCAGCCTTTCATGGGGTACACTGTTGAAAGCCTTGGCAAAATCTAGGTATATGTTATCGATATTACCACCCTGTTCCAGAATATGGGTCCAAATATCCAATACTTTGAGCAATTGTGTTAAGCAGGAATGCCCCGGCATAAAACCATGTTGGCAATCCTCTACAAGGTTGTTTTGTAGTAGCTGTTCCATTACGGCATCTCTGATAGTACTCTCAAGTATTTTACATATTATGCTGGTCAGGCTCACCCCTCTATAGTTGTTCGTGGAGTGACGATCACCCTTCTTGAGTATAGGACTCGCATAAACCACTTTCCAATCACTGGGGACCTTTTGTTCATCCAGGCATTTACAAAACAGGATCTTTAGGGGCTCGGCAAGCTTGTTGCACAACTCTCTTAGCACTCTGGGATGCACAATGTCAGGGCCAGGACTCTTATGGACCTTCAGCTTTGACAGTTTATTTCTAATACCCTCTTCTGTGAACATAATGTGGGTCACTGCTGTGTCGAACCGTTTGTCACCAAACGCAGGAAGGTTAATCGCATCCTCTCCTGTGAACACCGAGGAAAAGAAGCTGTTCAATGTCTCGGCTTTATCCTAGTCAGAATCTGCGTAACTACCATCTTCAAGCCTCAGGTCTGATACTCCTACTCGCATTTTTAATTTCGACTTTGCATAGCGGTAAAACGCCTTTGGATTTGTCTTGACCTCACTTGCAACCAGCCTCTGGAACTCCTTTTCAGCCCTTCTACACCTACCTTTGCTTGTTTTCTGGCTCTTGCATACATCCTCCTGTCCTGCTCATCGCTTGACCCAACCTACGTCTTGAATTCTGAGTTTTCTTCTTAACTTTATCGACCGCCTCATGGTTCATGTGTAGGGACCCCCTCATATTCCTAGAGGCACTGGGTTTGGTCTTGGGTATATATTTATAGATCAAATGGGTCACTTTACTAGTTATGATATTCAGCGTAGTGTATGTGTTCTTGTGCCTCAATGAGTTGGGCCAGTGGATTCCCCTCATCTCTTCCCTCATCCCATTGTAATTTCCCTTGTAATATTTGCACCTTGGCCTGGCCTTATCTTGAACTAGGTAACAGTTAAATCTGAATGACAATATGTGGTGACTGGTGCCAACTGGGGCAAGATGTTCCAGTTTGGCCACCATACCCTCCTCATTTGTTATGATGAGGTCTAGTGGCTTGGGTGTTTGCTCCCCTCTGTAATGTATCGGGTCTCTAACATGATGGAACAGAAAATTATCTCTCAGAGTTTCTAAAAAAAGAGTAACAGGGTTATTCAAGTCATTTCGGGTGAACTCGTTTTTCCAGTCTGTGTCGCCATAGTTAAAGTACACATGATATGGAGGTGGCTAGGGTTGAGCATTGCTGCAGTGTCTATTAAGGCTCTTAAGTTCCTTTGATTTAGTGGGCCACAGTTTGGGGATCTGTAGATACACCTGACGATAAGTAATTTAATTTTACACCATTTGGACTCTTCAAAAACATCCTCTCCCTGTACTCTCACCTGGCTGACTCTAAGGTCTTGCCTAGCATAGATAACCACACCCCTCTTGCAAGTTTTTTGAGAAAGGATCGTAAATGAGTCATATCCAGCTATACTGAACTCGCATTCCTCTGGGTCAATTCTCCTGTTCTTGTACTAACAGGGGCCGGATACTCAAAAACATTTATGGGGATGTATGTCGTTGTGTACCCCGTAACTGGACATACAGTCTCAGATTGGCATACTCAAAACACAGATGGTATACTCAAAACAAATATTTGACATCGAACTCCGCAAGTTAAAGTGCGTAACTTACACCAGCTCCTGAGGTTGTGTAACACTCTCAACCCGGATGTAGTAGTGACTAATTCCCTATTGTATAAAAAATAATAATAATATATGTTGTAATGTTGACTTGGTTTATCATAGAATAATGAAGAAAATATTTTGTACACCAACATACTGAAATATAATATTTCACTTTGTCTTTTTCGTAACTTTTTTGTTGCCATAATAAGCGGCTTGAGTGTTTGTATTTGTCTCAGTTTGGAAGAGACGCATCTTTTGTCTTCTTACAAATTATAAAGTATTTTTTACCAAAACAGAAGGTTTGTATTGTTCACACTTAGGGTAAAAATATGTTTTATGACTGAGTGAACTTGCAGATAGAACTTATTAATGTTGTATAGCCGTAAATATCCCTCAGTAATGAAAGCCAATATGAGGTGAAGTGAACATTCCTGCCAAGACTTCACCTGTTTTTCTAATATTCAACCAATAGTCTTAGCCTATTTTCTTATGTATATGGCTTATGATAACATGAAAGGCTATAAATTTCCATAGGCTAGCCAAAATTAAACGATATTAGGCGTAACATGTGGATTGCAATTAACTTGATTAATAGGGGCCTATATAACTCTTTTTCAGTCTTAGACAAATAAATGTTTAAACGTGGGGCCTACTTAATTTAGTTAAAACATGAGGATTATTTAAATAAGAAATTATACCAATAGGTTATAGGTTAGAGAGGTTTGGTTTGGTTATGTTATGTTATGGTATGTTAGGTTAGGTTAGAGAATGTGTACATGGTTTTTTGGTGAGTGTCAGGCCGTCAGTGAGACACTTTGTCTAGCAGCTACCTTAGGCCTAGTTCCAGACTTTCAACATTATCATAGGTAGAGTATTAATTTAAGAAAATTTACGGCTAATCCGATATAATTTCAGGTTTTAAATTATTGTTTTTTGTATGAACTTGAAGACAATTCAGACCAAATGTCCCCAACATTGAAAGGAAAACACCAGGGTCTAGGCTAAATGAGTAATTTAAGAGAAGTGATTTGTCATTTAGGTTCGGCAAAGCTATGTTATCAATAACCAATTTATTTGAATTTGCCCAGAATAGTGTATACTTCAGCCTCACTGAAATTAGGCTGTCTCTTCTTGGCTGGTGTTCCTTCCATGTTTACAAAATAATATTATGTGCGTCGCTCTCAGCTGATTTCTCCTTCTCTTGTGATTGGTTGATGATTTTGTTAACTGAGCGCTGATTGGCCAACTAGCTCCTGCACTGACATCTACCTTCCGACAAGAGAACTTAATTTACAGGGTAAACACTAGAGTTATGAATACTTACGAAAGGCTTACGGAACTGTAATTAAATTTTGAGTATGCTAAATTTACGGTACTGTAAAGATTCGACAATATATGGTACTGTATCATGCTAAAAGACGTAACTTATGAGGTGTTTTGAGTATCCAGCCCCAGTTCTACAACTCCTACAATATCTGGTTGGTGTACCTTCAGTAGTGTTTCAAACTCCTCTCTCTTATCAAGAAACATGTCAGAATTAGTGTACATAACATTCGAGCCAGAATTTGTTCTCGGTAATGTGTCTGCTCTTAGTAGCAACACCCCCCCCCCCCATTCTCAAAAGCTGCAGCATTTGCTAAGTACACTGTATGTCATTGTTTACACCGTGCTCGCCTCCTCCCGGGTGGGGGGTAGAGCGGGTGGAGGGTGCGCTGTTGACACACTTGCTTCCACTATCCTCTCCCCGTTCCTCCTCGACTCATCCCTTCTCTGTTTCAAGCCCTGCAGGAGCTTCCTGTGCTGTTCCCTCTGCATTACCGTGCATTCTGGGTGAATGAATACACTCCAAGATGCCTCGCTCCTTGCTAAGTTTTTTGCCTGCCAAATAACCTTCCATTTCTCCTCCTCACTCACTAGTGTGATCCTGAGGGGACCAGGCTTATCTCCCTGCTGTTGTCCCAGCCTCCTCACATCCTGGAGGGTTGATGGCATTTTCAGAACCTCTGTACAAATATTCTTAAACTACATCTTATCGTGTGTTATCTTACTCTAAGTTCCCTCCGCCTGGCTCTCAGGGACTCCAAAAACTATTACATTGTTCCTGCGCTGGAAACGTTCCAGTTGTTCCTCCTCTCCCCTAACAGTAGGTCCGTTAATTTCCATTTCTTCGACACACTGCTTCAGGGTTCCTAGCTGCTGTAGAACCTGTTCTGATCCTAAATTACTCTCCCCCACCTCCAGTAGCCCTGCTAATGCCTCGGCATAACTTCTCTTAACAACTACCTCCATTATATCGGCTACTTCCTCAGTCTTAGCAAGGATGTCTTTCCCAACTTGTCCTAGTTTGGCAACCAGCAAGGCTCTAGCGTCATCTATTTTCGTCCCTAGGGAACTCGTTCCCCTTTGGCTTGCAATCGCCTCTTTCACCTTGACTCTGCAGTCAGGGCAATACCAGCAACAGCCTTCATGCTTTACAGCAGCTTGCATCGTCCTAAATGTTGCATTAGTCAGGCCTGTATCATCCATATCTGTTATCCCCGCATTAATCTCATATCATACTCATGGTTGTTGTTGTTTGGGGGGGGGGGTGCAGACTGTGTATAGATCTACATTTA